GTCTTGAGACGATGAGCTAGAAACCGCTTTTATCTGCTAAACGATGCTCCGAATGGAGTCATGGAAGTTTTGCCCTCAACAGTGTACTTGAATGCTATCGCATGGAGCCGCCTTGATAGCTAAGCAAGGATAGAACGTATGCATAGCATGGTGTAGGTGATAGCGCTGCGGACTCAACACGAGAGGCCATTGGATCAGTTCCTCGTGGTACGCGTCGTCCTGCTCTTTTTGAAAACCTGACTAAAAAAGCTTCAACCGACCATATTTCGTCAATGCTTGCCTCTACCTGCTGTATGAAAAGTTCGCAAGCACCTGGTTCCAGGCCGGACCACACTACGACTAAACACGACGTTCATAGCTCACTAGTCAGGCACTGCTGCAACAAGCGAATGTGATCATCGTTTTCAGGGAGCCAAAGCACCTCTGGAAGCAAGCTTCTAGCCAAATCTGAAATTTTGACCTAACTTCGAGAAGGGGCGGTCAACAATCGTGCCAAGCGCACGAATATGGATCGAAAACAATATGACGAGAGCACCTACCCTCAATGGATAGAGAACCATGTGAATCACACTCATATGCGTAGACGTGAGCCAGTTGAACGTTATTCCCTTCAAAATCTCAGTTTAAAGGTCGACTTCATATCCAGGGTCCGACGATTGGTTGATGATATGACGGCTTGATGATGGTTGGCCCATCGCAATTTTAGAAGATGGGTCGAAATTTTGGATTTGATTTGAAACTTCTCTTCAGGGTTACTTTGACCCTTTAGACACGAATACCGCGTCTATTTCCGCGAGAAGGTCTGACACGTGCGCTACGGGCAACCTGGGCATACACGGACAAAACGCCCAAAGCTGCAAGAAACTGGCTGAAACTCTACATAGAGGCAATTAATGGCAAGTGTTGATAAACTAACGAAGTTGGAAGCTGTCACATTCTAAGCTAAAAAAACTGACTCTCCGAGGACCCGTTCTCACGACCTCTTGCTCTGCGAGTTGGGCACTACCACTGCGCTTCCTTGCTTTATAACTACGTTCAGAGAATCGTTTAGCAGATAAGGAAGGCAGTTCTGAGCTCAGCGCCTCGAGGCGACTTCAACGGTATACACTCATTGCAAATGGCCGGACCGACCTGATGACCTTCCCTCGTAAACAAAAAAACACCAAACAAAACTAATCTACTTCGAAACAAGGAAACGAACCTAGCAGTGGCTACGAATACCATGTCTTCCTTTTCACCAGCATAAAACACAGAGTACTGAATATTCGGATGAAGATAGCAATTAGTCTGACCATACATAGTTTCAGGTCTTAACGTGGCTGCAACTAAATACACTGGCAGAGTTATGTGAGCAATTGCAGCCGGCTTGGGTTCCAGTACCTGAAGTAAGCGTAGCTTAATCAAAAAAACAGCGTCGCAGTAAACTGAAAGGTTATCTGCTAGCCGTCTGAGCATTTCATGAAAAACAACTGTTTCAAAAGCACCTAGATCTTTAGATACATACATACTGCACTATAAAGTAACAGAGTGCTACCTTGAGCTGTACTAAAGTGTATTCTTGAGGACCAACACCTTCACCACTGGAGCGATCGTGATCCATACAAGGTTGCCCATCCTTTGGAGAATATATGGTATACCTAAAACAAGGCAGAAATGTACGAAAAAGGCTAGCAGCAACGCTGAAGATATACCTTTTGCCAAAATCGATCTTATTAGCGAGATGTAGTTTACGAAACTGCCATTGAACGAAGGAATCATAGTATGGATTCACATCAGTTGTAATAAAGGAGCGGCGCCAGTCGACCTGTGAAGTTATTTTTGGTTGACATTTTGGAATACTCGTGTAGAGGTTCAATTCAACAGAAATACCTTGAGGCCCATTTTCTTCAGATCAGAAATGCAGTACGGAGGAAAGTAATCTAGCCAATAATCAGTATTTGCAAATTTTTCGATTTCTTCATCTGTGAGACCCAGAGACTGCATTATCTGCCATTGATACTTGAACGAGCCGGTTTTGCTAACGAGTTTACTCTGAAAAGCTCTGCAAGTAACTTGTTGAGTCTAAGTCTGTTGTGATGATAGAATGTCAAAATTGTCGATGAAATCTACTTCAAAATGTCCACCTCACAAATGTTACGAGTGCGACGCCATGGCAAAGGAATATGAAGTACTCAGCGCTGTTCTACTTTTGCATCATGCTTCACACACACTTATTCCATTCAGAAACGCAAAAAAGCAAACATGTTCGCAATATTATGTGGTCTACACGATAACTTACAAAAGCCATTTGTTTGATCCGAAATAACCGACCCTGGAGGGGTCGAAGACTTTTTCTCACCTTCTTTCCTTTGCTCTTATCCTTGGTGATTTCATCGAATGAGGAAACTTCTTCGTCAACTGTTTCTTCTTGTTCGAGTGGAAATCTAGAGTTTCAGTTAGTCAAGAAAAACTATGACAATTCAATGCAATGGCCAATACAAGTCGAAAGGGTGTTCCACGTCTCCAAAGGAAATGCTGCCAAACAACTATAAATCTTCTTCATAAAACATATTGTTGGATAAAACTGTCAGATTACTCGGTAAGGTGATCCACAGCAGAAATAGCATGACCAAAAGCGGACTACCAAGTTACTCAAAGAGTCAAAATGGAAAAATGACCCTACCAATTTTCAAAACGTGTAGGTATTACTTTACTGAAACTTCAGCTTCTCATCCAGGTTCAAGCATAGCTATGGTAGAGCGGAGTTTGAGGCAACAGCAATCGGTGGAACAATAAAATACTGACTTACCGTGGCGGGCATCCGAAGTCTTCCATTTCACGCTTTAGCTTATCAGCACAAGCTTTTATAGGCATTCCCGTACAATGGAACCCAAACGGAAACAAGCATCGTTTTCCAACGAGTCTTTGATAACCCACAGCAAACTGAAATAAATGCAATATCACAAGTGAAGAACCACTCCTTACCAGGAAGGATGTTGG